CCCCCCCCCCCCCCCCTCCTCTGTTCTCTATAAATCCACAAATTCATTCCTAAATTCAATTAAAACATGGCCTCCATTTCTACGCCCTCCTCTGTTCTTCCCAATTCCCGGCCGGCCTTCACCGGCGCCGGATATATTTCATCTCCGTCGACTCGGTTTCGGCCTCCGACGGTCGCCACGGCATTATCTAGCCGCGATGTGGGCAGTTCTGCGGCGGTATGACTGAATTGATGCTTTCTGGTTTTAGGCGTTTGAATCAATAAATAGGGAATTGAAATAGTTTGTTTTGTGTATGGGTTTTCAGTATAGGGTTGGGGATTTTATGACGAAGAAGGGGAATCTGCAAGTTGTGAAGCCTTCTACTACTGTTGACCAAGGTATTTTCAATATTATAATTCCGCTTAAATTATAGTTATGTGTTTATTTATTCATTCTACCCAATTTGTAAGCCACCCGATGCACCTCCTACGGCAAAATAGGCACAAGAAAAGAGCAATAGATCGGACCAACCTACAAAAACGAAACGGTCTCTCCGTAACCAGTCATCCATAACATCGAATAAATCATTTTCGTCTTTGGTAGTCATAGTGATCCTCCTATTCAACTAACTTCAACCATTTTCGAACACCTCATAGCATTTTCAGGGCCTTCGAGTCTATCATTTCTATATGATTTCTACTGTCTAGTTATAGATAAGTTCTGGACTCTTAAACTTTTAGGTTAAATTAGCCCTTCGACTATATATTTATATGTTTGTGTTTATTTTATTTCGACCCCTTCTTAATCTTTAAATTTTAAAATTTTAAGATATTTGAAAACTAAACTTGTAATTTAAATAGAATTTTAAATTTTAATAGTCTAATAAAGATAATGGATGAAATATTGAATATTTATTTTTGAAATGATATTTGGTTAAATTTATAAAAATATTTTATACCTATTTTCAAAAATTTCAATAATATGTTTTTGAAAAAAGAAATATAAAAATCATTACGAATAGAAATAGTTAATATTTTAAATTTAAAAATAAAAGTTAAAAAAAATTATTATCAATATATGACAAAAATTGTCTAACGTCACCTCATAAATTATCTACCAAATTTTTAATTTTACATTTTCAAAGTTTTTTAGATTCACGATGTTAGGTATTTTTGAACATTTTTTTTTTCAAATTTAAATGTATTTGTTAGATTTTTTTTATTAGTTTAGAGATATTATTATAATTTTGAAAGTTTAAAAGTATTTTTTTTAATACAAAATGCAAAATTAATTTAGCTAATAATATTTAGTGTCCGTGTATTCGAATGGAATGAAATGAGATGCGGAAGTCAACGATTTCATATATATTTTTAACTAGTTGAACTATGCATAAGTTCGACCCTTAAAAAAAAAAAAAAAATTTAAACTGTGTTTGAAACAGCCTTGGAGGTTCTGGTGGAGAAGAGTCTATCTGGATTTCCTGTAATTGACGACGATTGGAAACTGGTAAACTTCTTTTTATATAATAAATTTATTTATAAAGTAATGAATGGTGAATAATCTTAGTATTTGTTCTTAAAAATTCCATTACAGGTCGGTGTTGTCTCAGATTACGACTTACTAGCTCTATGCGCAATTTCAGGTTGGTATTTAATTTCATACCAATTCTTTTTTATATTGTTTTAAATCCACTTTGAATCTAAACTCTCGTGACTTTCTAAAAGGAGTACACGTTGAAGAGATGAATATATTCCCAGACGTGAACAGTAGCTGGAAAGTAAGCCCACAAAATCTTCATTCATTTTCTTTTAAGTCATAAAAAAAGAAAGGTCTTTATTTAAAAAACTCGAACATATATATATATGGGCAGAGGTTCAAGGAGATGCAGAAATTGTTGAGCAAGACCAACGGGGAAGTTGTAGCAGATTTGATGACGCCCGCTCCATTGGTTGTTCGTGAAGCTATGAACTTGGAAAGTGCGGCCAGGTGCGTGTTCCTAACATAATACATTATAATGTACGCGTTTATACTCATCATCATAGTAAATCTATAGGGTGTTGCTCGAAACAAAGCTCCATCGTTTGCCGGTGGTAGACTGCGATGGAAAGCTGGTAAGGCCAATATGTTTGCCTCTTACACTTACTTTCTGTTCTTCTTTCTTGAACGCTTGCCAAATAGTGTTGGTTGTGTTGGTTTTTGGAAGGTGGGGATCATTACAAGAGAAGACATAGTTAGAGCTGGGCTGCACATCAAGCGCACTCACCAGAGTTAATATGGCTGCAGCTTTTGTTAGAGATTATGCATTATTTTGCCTATACCAATTTTGACTCATTCATTTACCCATTTTGACACAATTTCGTTGAATATGATTATGAGATTTGTCGATATTTTGGTTGGAAAAATTATGTTTTGCAATTAAATTTGTTACTACTATCGTTTTGATATGTTTGAGTTCGAGAAAAAAAGAAGAAAATAAATTACTATCAGAAAGTAAAATAAAATGATCATCTCTAGTATCGTTACGTAATAATAGAGACAATCATAAGATTCTCAATTTATGGTGTTACCATAGTGTGATATCGCACATTGGTTGTGAAGGAGAACGAAACACCCTAAGGATGTGAAAACCTTTCTCTAGCAGACGTTTTAAAGCCTTGAGGGGAAGCCTGAAAAGAGAAAGTCTAAAGAGAACAATATTTGCTAGCGGTGGGTCTGAGCCGTTACATATAGTCTGATTAGTATGGACGTCATTATCACTCGTCTTGTATGATTAGATTACCATATGAAAGAAAAAATATAAAATTTGGATGAGAATTCGAATACTCATTGTCACTACCAACATGGCAATATCTCTAGTGTTTGGTATAGATTTACTGACATTTGACCGGAAAAATGACTGATACAACTGAAGTGATGAGAAAATTCATAGGCTCTAGGCAGGAAAAAAAAAAAAACTATCCGGTGAGATCTCATGTTTGTTGGGGAAGAGAACGAAGCATTCTTTATAAGAGTGTAGAAACCTCTCCCTAGCAGACCGTTTTAAAAATCTTGAAGGAAAATTTTAGTGGAAAACGACCATAGACGAATCGATCGAAGCTTTGTTTGAAATTGGAGATAATTTTCATTTTAAGAATTCATGAACTTTAGTAGCAAAATTGTTTCTATATACTGGATCATTTTGAACGAGAACAACGGAAATATGCTCTTTAACTTTTATGAAGGATTGTAATTGAAATTCGGCAAAAATATGTATGAATTAAGGGAGAAAATCAGGTCTAGAAGATGTAAATAACCGAAGAGGAGAGAGAAAGTCACTCCCTCTTGAGTCACTTTTGTGTTGTGAGGCTATTAGGACCAGACCGAACCCTATTAATTATCTATAGCCGTAAACAGACTACACGATGCATGATAGTAAACTAAAGTTAGGATTGAAATGACATACATCAAAGTTAAACAAAACCTTATTAGTTACCCCAAGTAAGCAACATTATTGTCTTAGCCTTGAACTCACAAGTTAGTAAGTTTGAGACAGTTTAGAAGACCTAAATGTTAGCTTATGGCAAGCCTTAAGCGAAATTCATATTCTTGAGTTTAAGCTACAAGTACAGTTTAAGAACTTACGAGCATGCTATTTACGGAGTATTTTTATACTCGTGCTTGCTACCTTTATTTTTCAGATGATAACAAGGTTGCATGACTATAGTGATAGTAAACTCGAGCTATGGGGGCTTTGAACTTGTTTAGATAGATCCATATACAGTTTTAAAGTACGTTGTACATAGAAGTACTTTTCATGATGTAGTTTTGAGAACGTTTTTGTTTATGTGTTTCTTTTCAAATACATATAGTTTTGTAAGTATGTTGTAATAAAAACATGTTCTGTTTTGTAACTCTTGTTTTTTATTTTAAAACTTCTTTTTTTGCTCCGTGACTGGCTGATGATCTCGACTGGTGGATCGTTACAATTTTAAGAATTCTAGAATTCCACAAAGAACCCCATACATTTTTTTTCTTCGAAATTTAAAATTTGGAGTGTTTTAAGTGTAAGCTCACTGTCAATGGTATAAACAAAGTTCAGAAAGTTGGAATTTAAAAAACTTACTTTTGTCGTGCAAGTTTCGACAACTTGAGCCGAGAAAAATGGTAAAGTGGGAAGTAGGTTTGTCTAACGAACTCGAAAAACTATATGAATTCGACAATTTTAAGCTATATTCAAATTCTCATCCTAAATTCATTGAATCGAGGTTTGTTTGAGATATTAAAAAGTATATTTAGTTATGGAATATATCTTCGATATTATATCTTTTATTTATGATTTGATTTACAGTATATTTTATTTTATTTTTAGTATTTAATTATTTTATATTTTTCTCATTAATACTAGCTTGTATCGGATATCAATATACACATCTTCCCAATTCTATTTCTCATTCCTAACATGGTATCAGAGTATCGATCTTGGTATTCCTAATACCCCTTGGACTCTGCCAATCATCCAATATCAAGAATACGTTGTAAGCATCTTCAAATTTTTCACCAAGCTCAAAGATGACATATTCAAGATGTTCGTATTTTCATTCACAACCTCTCAAGTGATCAGGGAGGATATTCACTTGTTCTAAATCAAATTAAACGGGACAAGTTACTAATCCTTGAGCCAATCATTGCGGTCTATTTTTTACGGATATTTTCATTACTGGGAAGACAAAAGTGTTATTGACCTACACTCTCCTCTTAAAGATAGCTCGGGTGTTATATTTTCCTCCATTTGTACTAGCTTATATCATATTTAAAGGATATGAATATCAATGATAATACACACCTTCCCAATTTTATTTCTCATTCTTAACAAGCTCAGACCGATAACAAACCTTAAAAATCTTTGCGTAGTTGAGTGAATAAAATATAAAATTTTATCTAATAAATGGAGAAAAAAGCTTGAATATTTAGCCACCGTATAGGAAACTTCATCCTCCTCCATAAATAAATAAATAAATAAATAAATAAATAAATTATATTTTTTTTTAAAATGTGATGGGAGAGAGGGTAGGTGGGAAGTTCCCCACACCATTTAAGAGTGAAATGATGAATGCTATAAATAAATATTATTAAATTTTTAAAAAATGTAATAATTTAATTTATTTATTTTTGTATTTCTTAATTAGTAATTATGAAATGATTGGATTATGTTATTTCTCAATTAATTTCCTTTTTTTTTTTTATTTTTTTATTTTTGTATTTATGTCTAAAACGCTTTTCTCATTTATTTTATTTACCGGGTTTTATTAATGTGTCGGTCTCCTTTTCTTTTCTTTTTTTTCTTTTTTTTCTTTTATATAAATATAATTTTTTAGTTAAATTAATAAAATTTCTTCCAATTTATTTCAAAAATACACCTTAATTTAAAAAAATACTCATAAAATTTTAAAAATAGTATTAACATCCTTTAATTTTATAAAAAAAAACTAAAAAAAGAAAATTAACATCAATATATGAACAAAAGTCTGTTGATACTTTATAGACTATCTACAAACGTTTTAATTTTATTTCGGAGAGTTCATGAGTATTTTTTAAACGTGGTAATAAACATAAAAGTATTTTTGATTTTTTTAAAAAAAATTATAACTATTTTTAAAGTTTTTTAAAAGAGAAATTTGAAAATCGAAATTTATTTAAAACAAAATATTAATAGTCTTTATTTTTTATTTTTTTTATAAAAAATTAAGATTGTTACCTTATGAATATTTTTTTAAGATAATTTTATTCTTTTCACTTTTTATTATTTTTTTTAATTTATCTTTAAATAGAACTTTTTTTAGTCGTACAAATTTTTATATCACAAATGCAAGTAACCTCAAATCTAAATGATTTTATCTCATCGAAGAAAATAGCATAATTGACACTCCACTTTAAGTAATACGAAGTTCTTGAATGAAGTTGTCTTGTTTTTAGTGAAACACGAACGATATCTAAGTACTACAACATCTTGAGCTTGTCATCAATTTCGTTTTCATCGAGCAATGTATAATCTCAACATTTATCCAATAGCTTTTGTGGTAAAATATTTAATTAATAGACGAATTAATAAAAATACTATAAATTAATAAGATTAAATTTATATATAAACTACTGCAAGTGTTCGATTACCATTTGTCGCTGTGAGGAGGTTGGCAATAGACAGTAAATTATCGATTATCGCCAATATATGATCGAAGTTGTTGCTGGAATGGTTGACGACAATCGATAATATCACTAATAAAAGGCGGGATATTTTAGTCATTTTACCTCAAATTTAAATGTTAAAAGGTAATTCAAATTATAACTTTCTATGATGGGGAAATTAAAATAAAGGTCAAATCTTACATGAAAGTCAAAAGTAATAATATCAAGGCAATTTACGATAATACCCTCTCTCCCAAAACTCCTTCCCTTGATTCCCGTATACTCGTTTGACTTTTACCATAATTTCATGCTTATGTTACGCTTTTTGTCCTCTTTTTTCAAAACAAAATTGATTTTTAAATAATTATAATTTTAAAAAAATAAATTTAAATGGATAATCTGATATTACTTAAACATGATCCTCACATGCGTTCAAAACTTCACTATTAACCTTAAAATTTTTATATAATTAATAATATTAAATTATAAATAAAATTAATTTTGGCGAAATTAATATTTTTCCTATGATATTTAGGCTAAAATTATTATTATTATTTTTTTTGGGTTTGATTATGTGTTAGGTGAATTAATGCATTCTTTGAGTGAATTAGTTATGTTAGTTTAGTTTATAGGGAAGGACGATTGGTCTCATTTTTTTTTTTTTTAATAAACATATTGTTTTATTTATATCTGTGAATGTTTGATTAATCCACCACACCTAAATGGTGTGAAAGTCATCTTATTTATAATCAAATAAATTACAAGGATATGGAATAGTAATAAATGGAAATAACAATAAATGGAAATAACAATAAATGGAAAGATACCTATGATAATAAGGCAAATATCTAATATTTGCCTTATAATAAAATATCAAATATATATGGTAAACTATAATTTATTACTAAATATCCTTAACACCCCACCGCAAGCTAAGCGTCGGATTTAAACGAACGTGAAGCTTGAATCTGAAAAATTCAAAGAAGTTGAGAAACACTTTTCATGAAACTGCTAACAACCCGGTTTTTGGCCATCAAAAATTGCAGAGGGATCGCCGCTCAGCGGCGATACTGCCTTGGTTTCGGCGAGAATATGTCTAACCCATGAAGAGGGATTGTCGCTTAGCGACGATGCTGCCTTGGCTCTGGTGAGAATATTTCTAACCCCAAGAAGTAGCAAGGGAAACCTAGAGCAAGGGACAAAGACAATGCTGAAGCCGGAAG